AGAGAGAGAGAGAGAGAGAGAGAGAGAGAGAGAGAGAGAATAGAGAGAGAGAGATAAAAAAGCAGAGAGAATGGAAAACAGTCTTAATAACAAGTCCTATTATTCTGTCCATCTCTCCCAGGTGTGATCCAGTCCACCCGGAACTCCCTGGAGCCCTGGAGCAAGCAGATCCTGCACGTCTGGTCCACCTCCAGTCACGTGACCAACATCCTCACCCAGGCCTACGAACACATCGACCAGGACATCAAAGCCAACACCGTTGTCATGGTGACCACAGCGGCCGACGCCCATTACATCTTCAACAACGGTTGAGACTTTATAATAAGTAGATTTCGATGATGTAATCAGCTGTAAGGTTACTCTTCCTCCCCAAAGAGTGACCACTTTTCCACCGACTGCCGTATGAGAGGTTTATATAAATATTCCTCGAGTCGGAGGAATTTGTATGGAGATTCTTCTCCGCCTTTGTGCTGTGGGACGTTGCATGGGCCTACATGTACCGCTCTCAGCGCGGACTCACCCTGACAGGCTTGGTCGAAGCCCGCCTCCTAAATGATCTACCTTGTGTCGATGAGGATGTAGAACACCTGCATTGAAAAAGAAACTCGTGTTCTGCTAACGGAGGCTCTACACAGGAAATGAGCCCATTTGCTGCCACAAATAGGCCACCATTGAGCCTTTTTACAGTGCATCTTATGTTCTCAGTGGCTTTTTGGCCATCCGCGGCTGTACAAATCTCAGCTCAGAGCCACCAGGAATCGGCTCCACATATCTGGCGGAAGTAGAAGACTCTTGGTGATAGCGTCGTAGTCCCAGCCTCTTGCTTCCAACGACTTAGATGTCTACGCCTGTCAGACAAATTTGATTTTTAGTAAAGAGAAGCACACCGGTACAATCACGGGCATATTGAGCTGGGGAAAAAAGCAAGACGGATAGACCGAAACAAAAAAGCTGGGAAGCAAACAAAAAGACCTATGAGTGGGGTTCTCCAACTACCTGTGACAGAGGAATGCAAGAACAAAATATATGTACTTTTATGATGTGTCACGCCACTCACCACTGACGTCCCAATGGCGAAGACATACCACTCACTACCTCACGCAAACAGAAACTGAGTCATGCGATCAAAAAGTCTCTGTTTTTTGCCGTTAGCAAAAGCCAATAGACAACCCAGTTGTCAATAAAAGGTTGTAACAAACTAAGCTTCATGATCAAAACGTCCCTGATAAAAAATGAGTCATGTCCAAGCGAATTTTTTTAATGAGTTTTTCATCCTCGGAAGCTCAAAAATCCCCACTCAAGCTGGGATGAAGATCTTACAGAGACCCCACCCTGACATAGGAGACTGAACTTAGAACAGCAATCATGTATGAAGCAATGTAAACAACCGCTAGGGAGAACAATATACGGGTTAAGTTAGAGGATTATTCATTGATTTATACCTCATTATTAGTATCAGCACAGTTACAATAATATCGTCAGCTCAAATATATGTAAAACTATTGCACAGGTATTATAATATTATTATTTTATTAAAATTTGTTTCCAAATACATGTACACATTTTGATACATTTTTACTATAATTTTACACTTCTTTTAAAGGTACAATCGATTAACACACGCTGAGATTAACTGGAACCGATACAATAACGGGCATGTAGTGCAGGGGGGGGGGAGCAAGACGGATAGACAGAAACAACAGAGGGAAAGAAATCTAAAAGACCTATCAGTGGGGTTCTCCAACCACCTGCGACAGAGGAATGCAAGAACGTGGTACATCATGTAGTTTTATGTGTCACGCCTCTAACCACTGACGTCATCGCGGGGAAGACCGACCACCTCACGCAGAGAGAAACAAAGTCATAGTATTATACGATCAAAAAGGCCTTGTCTTTTGCCGCTTGAAAAAAGCAACAGACAACCCAGTTGTTAATAAACGGTTGTAACTTACATAGCTTCATGATCAAAACGTCCCTAATCAATAGTCAAACAATTACAGAAATGAGTCATGTCCAAGCGAAATTTTTTTCTGAGTTTTTCATCCTCGCAAGCTCAAAAATCCTCACTCAAGCTAGGATGAAGATCTTACTGAGACCCCACCCTGACATTGGAGACTTAGCTTAGAATGCATGTAGCAATCGTGTATGAAGCAATGTAAACAACCGCTAGGGAGAACAATTTATACGGGTTAAGTTAAAGGATTATCCATTGATATGTACCTCATTATTAGTATAAACACAGTTGCAATAATATAAATTATCAGCTCAAAATTACATGTATAACGTAATTTTGTACAGGAATTGTATTATATAAAAATTTGATCTCAAATACATGTACACATTTTGATACATTTTTGATCAATTTTTACCCTTCTTTTAAAGGTACGATCGATTAAACACACACTGAGATTAACTAGAACGTTGTGTCTTGTTTGTTAATTCAGGTGTTGATCTTTGAGTATGACAGATGTTTGTTTTGATGTGATGTAATTCAAGTACGTGTTGGAACACAGAGGCCGGAAGCGGAAGAAAGTCTTGCACTTTTATCTAAACCTGTGTGTCGGATTGTCTCTCAGATTTTGTCATGGTTGTCCTAGTCGTAGTTGTCCTTGGTGTTTATGTTTCATCTCTCTCTTTCTCTCTCTCTCTCTCTCTCTCTCTCTCTCTCTCTCTCTCTCTCTCTCTCTCTCTCTCTCTCTCTCTCTCTCTCTCCCTCTCTCTCCCTCTCTCTCTCTCTCTCTCTCTCTCTCTCTCTCTCTCTCTCTCTCTCTCTCTCTCTCTCTCTCTCTTTCGCATTCTATCTATCTATCTATCTATCTATCTATCTATCTATCTATCTATCTATCTATCTACAAACAGTCAAACCTGCTGCTTCTTCTTTCCTATCAAACATCTATCGTCCTTATCTCCCCTTCTTCTTTTTTATGTTTATTACTCTCTTGTAACACCTTTAATCTTCTGGCCCTTATATGACATTATGCAGTTGCGAGCGCCGTAAAACCCTCTACTAAAACTTTTAAAAACCTGCTCTGGTGGCCAATTTGACAACCACTTGAGCAAATGACTACATGTACTTCCAACTTCCCTTATTGCGGGTTTTAAAAAAAAGATATATATATATATATATATATATATATATATATATATTGTTGTAATTAAGACACTGTGTAAGACGTCCACCTGTATATGACAGTCATTTTTCTCATTTCGGGTAGTTGGCGGGTGCTCTGGTGTGGATTGCTCCTTCTTTCCGATCAAACATCTATCGTCCTTATCTCCCCATCTTCTGTTTTGTGTTTATTACTCCCTCGTAACATCTCTAATCTTCGGCACTTAAGCAAACCACACTAGAGCACCTGCCAACCACCCACTCAGGCTTACGGGTTATAATAATATGTATACCGGTAATTTGACGGAATCGTGAGATAGACTCGTCAAGTGAGTGGGTGGCGGGTGCTCTGGTGTGGTTTGCTCATTCTTTCCTACCAAACACCTATCGTCATCTGTCCTTCATTTTTGCGTTTGTTACTCTTTCGCAACACCTCTACTATTTGCGACTTAAATCTGACCTAGGCTTAGGCCTAATTGCGTTGCAAGTGCCGTAAAACTCTAAAACAAAGAAGACTCGCCAAAACTGCTTACCTTTCAGAAAATCAGGGTAGCATCTGGTCTAAGTACCACCCACCTTTCCTTCTCCCCCTATCCTTAACCGCTACAAAAATGAATCTCAAAGACTCTCCCCTCCTCCCCCCTCTCCGACCCTTCGCATACAAATACATTGTAATGAAAGAGCAAGGTAAATCACTCTGAAATACATGAAAACGATCGTTCTCACACATGAAGAACCTTACACAATGTACAGTAGTAACAAATCACCTCCTCGGCGACACCCCTTACTCTCTTTTTCTCCCCCTCCCACTCCTCCCCCCCCCCTCCTCTCTCTCTCTCTCTCTCTCTCTCTCTCTCTCTCTCTCTCTCTCTCTCTCTCTCTCTCTCTCTCTCTCTCTCTCTCTCTCTCTCTCTCAGGGGCGGCTCGTGGGGCTAAAATGTGGACATGCACGATTAAGCTATCGCATGCTGAAGATAGTCAAGGGCATAGTAAATGAGACGGTGTATAATTTTAGGATCTTTGGGTTGGTGAGGGAGGACCTCGTGCTTTTATTTTCGTTCTTTTTACTTGTCGCTTTGATTTCTAGTACTAAATTTGATTGTTAGCTAACCATCAATTTCATTCATCCTGTATTAGAACAGAACACTCAAGTCATAACTTTCACTACTCCACTACAAAACCATTCAAAGGCATAACTCAGGTTCACGGTCACAGATTCACTTAAAATAGTGGCAAGGCAGACAATGAATCAATCACAATTCACTTGAGCACTCTGCTGGATTGCTCCAGGGCTCAAATAATATTGGCAAAGAATAGCGTACGGTCTATCGCGTTTATTTTTAGACTGCCTACTGTGGGTTATGTTTCGGCACTGTTAGGCAGGAGCACATTTCAGATGTGCCGTCTTATTAATATTAATGTACCGCCAAACTCGCTACGAGTGTCGTCATCGCTTGGGTTATCCCCAAGAGCGATTTATAGGTCATCCTATTATGTTTAGCTAAAGCGCGAAGACTTTGGCATGGCATAGTAGATGTTTTTCGGCGCTGTAGACACAGAAATGACAGTTATGGCGCCAGTGAGGACCTTGTTTTGATATAATATTTGGCTAGTGTTTGTTTCTGGCTTCTTTTATTTTATTATTGTGGGTGTTTTTCGTAATAGAACACTAAAAAATGTTGGGCGACACTGCACGACCGTGCTCTATGGACGAACCGCGCCTGGCAAACACATACTCTCCCCGTAGTGTCTTTAGGCCGTTCCCAAAGGGGAGACATTTCTTGTTCAAGCACAGTAGAATTGTAAATGGGCTGACTTATGTCACGCTCATAACTGTGCCTGATCTACAACAGGGAACTGCTGGTTTTTCTTCCCTAATCCTTACTATTGTCATTTTCCTCTACTTCTTTTGTATGTTTGTCACTCTCTTGTGACCTGCTATTTCCGGGGTGCCTTGATAGTCGAAGCAGACTTTGTGCTGTTGAAGCCAGAGAGGTGAGCCGTCTGATTCCTTGTAAAGACTTCTCTGTTGACACCCACCCCTTGGCGCTCCTATGACCTTATGCAGTTGCGAGCGCCATACAACCCTGTACTATAACTTTTTTTAAAAACACATAATCACACACAAATACACACGCACAAGGTTTCAAGTTATTATTTTTTTGTTTTTAATCTTCAATTCTAATTTTTTATCAATTCATTTCATAACGTCATGACGAATGGTTCTTCAGACCATAGACTCTTATTGTAACCAACTCCTGCAGAGAGAGAGAGAGAGAGAGAGAGAGAGAGAGAGAGAGAGAGAGAGAGAGAGAGAGAGAGAGAGAGAGAGAGAGAGAGAGAGAGAGAGAAAGAGAGAGAGAGAGAGAGAGAGAGAGAGAGAGAGAGAGAGAGAGAGAGAGAGAGAGAGAGAGAGAGAGAGAGAGAGAGAGAGAGACCCAGCGGCACTTCCTCTTACAAAGCTCAGCCTTCTTGGCTTGAGGGAAGACCGCACAAAAAAAAGGAAAAAAAAGTGCGTGGTGGCGTCGGTGGCTAGTGTTTAGGCTCTCGGACTCACAACAAAGGTCGTAGTCATGGGTTTGCATCCCGTCAGGGACCCGACGTACGTTGTGTCCCGGCACTTTATACTCGAATTTGCTCACTGCACCCAGGTGGGAAGGGGTACCCAGCTATAGACAGCGAAAGTTCCAGTCCGTTTGTTAGTATTTGAGCGTGTGCAATCCGCAGCTTGAGCTTTATTCTCCCCGAGAAGCTGAGAATGTTTTTGAGCATTCTAAGATCTTCGATCTAGTTGCGGGGGGGGGGGGGGGGGGGGGAGGTGTTGGGGGGGGGGGGGTAATTATAGGCATAGTTGTATAGGGTATAGATAGAGTTTGCTGCAGAGCGGGGGCTATGCGCTGTGTAAATGCTGAGTATAGGCAACGAACAGATACTTTTAACCTTACCCGAGACGTATCTGATATCAGCACGTCTCGACCTTATCCTATCCCGGGCTAGCCTCTTTATAAGCTTAATTATTATTCCATGTCTTCCCCCTTTTCTGTACACCAATCTCCGTGACTCTTCTCCAGGTTCCACTTGGCCTGCCTCTGTGGGCCTCATTTGCCCGCGGGCTGCAAGTTTAAGACTCCCCGATCTAGAGCCTGTTGGAGCAGAAATTGCCCACCTATATGCCATAACTAACCTCTCTATGTTGGTATAACACTTTTCTGTTGTAACAACTTCTTATCCATACCGTATCTCTTCCCGTTTCTCCTTCATTCTGATCTGTCTGTTAAGGGAGCGGGGAAATAAGAAAAATAACTCCACGTAGGCCGTTAGAAACCCCCATATTCTAACTAATTTTTAATAGTTATAATAGCAAACAAACAAGCGCCCATGATGAGATCTACGCCTGGAGCTAAGAGAGGCGTCAAACTGTTCAGAAATAATTCATTATTCAGTCAGATGCGTTAGAGGTGCATCAAAACTTAAGATCTAAATAAATCTGTGTTATAAAACATAAGCAGGTCAATATTGACCAAGCCGAGGCCCTCTCTTCATCCACTATTAATTATAACTTGTACATGTATTATTATTATCCAGCGCTTCGTCATATACATTTACCAAGGGAAACAACTAGAGTATAACTATTCTAAGAAAGTATTTCTTTGTAATCCCCCCTCGTATAAGTTTATTAACCTTTGACCTGTTTCTATTTGAGTTTTGAGAGAAGCATGGTCGCGGTTGGCTTGAAAAAAGTGAACATCTTGTTGAGGCCTCTGCTCTTTCTGTAAGTACATTGCCTTTTACTCTTCAGTGGTTTATTGCGTAGACCATGCGTTATTATGTATTGCATCTTTTTATTAACTATAAACTTTCACTACTGATAGATTCTAGTATAATAAAGGCTCAGTTTCTTAGTTGAAGGGACTCGTAGAGTTCGAGACTTGAGTTTTCTCTTCTCCAAATAATAATAAACAGCAGAAGAGTCACAGAGCACTCGACGCGTTTGTTTGTGAGGACCGAGGGCTGAGGAGGATCCAAGGAAGAGGATCAAAATCGACCACCGATACACCTGACATGGTGCAAATGCCGATTCATTCAGTGCTTTAAAAAAACCGTTTTGTCAGAGCAGGATTTGCCGTTCCTTGCCACTTCATCGTGAGTGGACAGTTTGTCGTGTGGGCTTGTCACTTTGTCAGTGTCAGTGTTGGTTTGTGCAGGGCCCTGTGAAGAGAGACGTGATAGATTGTTGTGATACTGTGTATCCGGGAGCCCCGAGTCTCTTTGGGCATTTTTATTGGACAACAATAGGATTTAGATCTTGTCTCGCTGTGGCCTTTTTTTTCTTCTGGAATCTATCTAGTCCAGCAGACACTGTTACAACACACAGGATAAAGGTAGGCTATGATGTTGTTTGTGTATGCTCTACTTGGCTACACTACATGATTGAATTGATAGTGTAGTGTAGTTAATAGTTTGCAGAGTAATGCTGTAGTGTGCCTAGGACTGGGAGTAGTGTTGTATTGTTTAGGAGAGATCATATATCAATTTGATTTTTAAGCTCAGAAATTATAAGGCTATAAGGAAGGCTACACATGATGCAAGTGTCATTATTGTACGGAAACAGCCAGGGGGGGGGCCTTTTGATAGCCTCCTCATTTTGTTTAAAAAGATCTTGGATTTAATGGTTAGCTCTCCTGTTGTTTTTTTTTACTTATTGCTACTTTAAACCTCTTCAACTTGTTGTGTTTCAGTATATTTAAGGCTCATCATGTTCTTAAGACAAGACCTATGTCCTATTGTTCGACGGACAATGATATTTTCGTGCTAAGGGAATTCAGATTACTTGTTTGAAGTCGAAATTGTTCAAGACAACCTCCCATTGTTTAGGAGAAAGGAGCTCTTAGGTGGACATCATAGGCTGGTTTGAGAATGAAGAAAATATACCATTTCCTTTTTGAAGGTCCCAACCCAATTCGCTCAAAAGTTTAAAACTGCCGCCCAATAATGTTTTTTTTCTTTTGAAGGGAGGACGGGAGGTTTTGTGGCTGCTGTGTGTATGAAATTCGGTAGACAGTTATATTTTATATATATATATTTATATATATATATGTATATATAGATCTAGAAACAAGAAGAAAACTGTCAGACAAGGAAGACCGAACACCATAGTTAACAAACAAATGGGTCGCCACCACTGGCTAGCAAGCAACACTTCTATCACAAGTGTTCAAGTTGGCGTCTATTGTTTGACTCTGGGTGGACAGAGTGGCCATTCATCTCAATAATGATTCTCGTAGCCAGAGGATCATATTCTGTTGTGGGAGGGCTAATGAATTATTATGTCGGCTCGCATGCCTCACTAATCAGCTGCTGAAAATTTATTAACGACTGTTCAACTTCGGTAAACAGTGGGAGGGACGCCTGTAATCTGGTGCTGGTCAGTGAGTGGTTTATTCATTGGAGAGGTTAACTATAACAACTGGTAAATGGATTACGATGGCCCGGCACATCCACAGTGTCAAGGGCTGGTAAATTATTCATTTATGGCTATGTGTGGGTGATGAGAGATTTCGTGGCCATCCTGGACAGTTTTTGGGGCTTTTGGTTCATGAATTAAAATGTTTTAAAATAAAGTGGACAGGAGGTTGTTGTCTTGGGCAGTGTTAGAAGAAAATACAAGGGGTGGTGGGAAGTGACCATTTATACAGGTCTAGTGGTTGTTTTGGACAGGTGGCCGTCCGGACAGATTTGACTATCTCTATATATATATATATTTGATGAGATCGTGTGCTGGTAAAATTTAAATTCTGAGCCTGAGGTTAAGTTGAGACTAATGAAGAAAGTTTGTTAATTGTAAAACTTGTTCTGTTCTCTATTCTTACTCTGTAATAAACATTGCAGCAGTCTGAAACAGATCTGAAGCTTTTGAAATGTTCTATTCATCGTTAACGGCACTCTGTAGTCAGGTACTGGAGGTACTTATACTGGTAGGCTATATCTTTCTGCAAGTTTAGTAGAGATTACAGCTTTTTGTTGCAGAGTCTCCACTGGCTTTTGAAGGGGGAACAAATACCAAGCTGATAAAACTTGATAAACCGTGCCTGTGGCATAGAACCTTTTATCAGAGTGGAGAAGTGGTCACAATAGGTTCAAATCAGCTTGCCTCATTTAAATCACGTCCTTTCACCAGAAAATGTATTCAACCAGCAGATAAAGCCTTCCATTTACCTTCAGTCGGGTTTCAGTTAAATATTGGTTCTATTTTTAACCTGTTTCTTCTTTTTTGAAGAAAAAAATTTGCTTGTTTGGACTGATGGCCTATCACTTAATTCATGTGTGGGGGACATTTTGGATTTTTTAAAATACACAGATCTGATGCTAAATGAAATGCCCCTGAGAAGAAACAAACGACGACAAAGTCATCAACATATATTGTGCTGCTGTCATGATTTTATTTTATTTTGCTGTGTTCAGATGTGAAGCGCACCTCTTGAACAACGTAAGTGTTGATAGGATAGAGACGTTAAAGTTTTTAAAGTTATTAAACCCATACTTCTACTCTTACTCAAATGTGAAGCAGCTTCTAGTAGTCTCCATTTATTTTGTCTCTCTATTCTTTCTGGCTTAAATGAATGGATTTTTAGCTGAAGTATCTCCCTGACTGCTCATTTGTGCTCAATCTTTTTGAGCTTTCACTGAACTTCAGTGGTGTGTTAGTCACAGGTTGCTCGATAAATCTTAAGGTTAGTTATAGTGGTGTGGATCGGCTACTGGTGGTTAGACCGACAGTCAGACTCACCGAGTGGGTGGTTGGCGGGTTCTCTGGTGTGGTTTGCTTCTTCTTTCCTATCAAACATCTATCGTCTTTATCTCCCCTCCTTTTTTTTGTGTTTGTTACTCTCTTGTAACACCTGTAATCTTCTGGCGCTCATATGACCTTATGCAATTGCGAGCGCCGTAAAACCTCTACTAAAACTAAAAAAGACTCACTGAGCCCGCCCCCAGGACAGTGCTACTGGCTATGGAGTGTTGTCTTAAGACCATTCCCAAAAGGAGGACATTGACATGATGGTGATATTCTTATACACAGTAGAATTGTAAATGGGCTGATTTATCAATGTCATGCTCATACCATGCCGGAACAACGTAGGGGGAACTGCTGCTTTTTCTTTCCTCATCCTTACTGTCGTCACTCTTCAGGTCTAATTCCTTTGTATGTTTGTCACTCTCTTGTGAACTGCTATTTCCGGGGGTGCCTTGATAGTCGAAACAGACTTAAAGTGCTGTTGAGGCTAGCGAGGTGAACAGAGTAAGCCTGATTCCCCGTTTGGACTTTTCTGTTGACATTCACCCCTTAGCGCTCATATATGACCTAATGCAGTTGGAATTGCAATAAAACCTTACTAGAACAAAAAAAGACTCACTGGATTAGAAAATATGGACACAGTTGTTATGGAGTGTTGTAAAAGATTGAATTTAGTTAGCTGGACTAAAAAGGTTCATTTCTGAACAGGTGGCATGATCATTATGTTATAGTTATAGAGATAGATTAGCAAAAGTACTCTATATATGCACATATTTATTTATGTGTGAACACTGGTGAGATTTATGAATAAACCATGAGCCTTGAGCCTCAGAGATTCTGTCTGTGTAAGTAATGTTAAGTTTGCTCTGCCATTCGCCACGCACTGTTACTGTTGGTGAAGGTGTTTAGTCTGGATCTCTCTACCTCTCGCGGATGTATGATAGAGTCCAGAAAGTGAAGTACTCTGAAACAGTAAGAGCAAGAGTTCTTGTGACTCTTAGACAATAGGTAGTTGATGTTTTTGTGTTCTGCCTTGGTTTCAGTTCTCTGCCCTGCTGTAATAGAGCAATGTGTCTAATAGAATGTGAAAGGTACAGTGATACCTCATCCAAGTGTAATTTACAAAATGCCAATAATAATGTGGAGATCAGAAGTATTGTGTCTTTCCTTTCTTGTTGTGTAAAGTATCCTAATTATTATGAATTGATTGGCTATTTAATGGAACATTTTTAAAAGTACCGAGATAGTGAGAGAATTTCAGAGCTTTTGCAGCAGGTGCTACCTTCGAGCTAGCTACCGGGCTTCGTTTTGTTTTTTGTGTAGCGACATGCAATTTTGGCTTGTGTAGACCCATCCATGTGTAGGATCTCTTACTGCTCACTTTGAATAGTCCATACAGAGCACTCCATTGACTGTACTGTACCACCACTGACTGTGACCAAATGTTGATTATATTGATTATTACCTGCTGTGTTCTTCCCATCATCTATTGTCTATTCAACACCCCCCCTTTTCCCAGCTTTTGTTTGTCCTTTTTTTTCTAAACTTCTCACTTGAACAATAATGAGAGAATAATGAGTTAATGAGAGTCATTTGTGTATTTTTAAAACCCTCATTATAAGTGAAATCCCTGGTTCTTTTTATGTTAACAGTGTTGCCTTACAATGTGATCCTGGTTGCTATTCATAGAGAAGTTGTTGTTTTTTCTCTAGATGTGTTACAGTTGAATACCCTGCTGAATACAAATACATAAGCTATACTTAGTATGCAGACCCTGCATTGCTGGGTTTGCATTATAATTCTATTTTTTTGCTTGTTCATACTGTTGGTAAGCAGATTTAGTCTCAAAAGAAAGCTGGATAGAAGACAGTACTCTAGGCTTGGACATAATTCATAATATATGAGGCAGCGTGGTGGAATCAGGCTCTCGTCAAAATAATCAAAATGAAGAAACTTGAATTTTTCCGCAGGTTTGCAAATTTTTATTAAATTTTTGTTTTTTGGCTCAACACCTTTTGTGCCCATTAAAGAACTCATTTCTGTGTGGATTGTTCTGAAAAACATTGATTAAAGACACAGAAAATGTAAATTTTCTGTTACCACGGACTCTTAAGCTAAGGAAATAACTAACCTTTGGCGACCATTTTCTCACTAATTTTACCTCTGAAAACAGGTGACCCCCACCTCCTTCTTTAGTAAATATCTCGACTTGTATTCAAGATAAATGGATACTTTTTTCATCCAAATAAAGACAAGTGAACAAGCTTTAAGATGATACCAATAACTCTAAATGCCCAAAAATTGATGAGAGCCTGATTCCACCACGCTGCCTCACATATGATGTTTATGTTGATGGAATACAACTAGATTTAAAACTAAGAAGTGGTGTGCATGTTTACTCTAATACTAACAGTTAATTTTGAAATCCAAAATGCTGCATTTTTTTGGCCTTTATTGTACTACTAAACACAAAAACGCCAGTTGATACAAATGGGCAGGGTACAAAAAATGTGTTGTTCAAGTGGTACTCTACAGATGGGGGACTCAGGCTTCTATTTGTTGATGGAACTGTGAACAGTTTAGTTTATATCTATCGACTGCTCAGTGAACGTAGTGTAAGTCTCTGTCATGCCTCATTTTTCAGAACAGCTCGTGGCGCAGTCTTACAGTTACAGTACACAAAGCGGCTGATATCTCCTGGCTTACTGTGGTTTAGAGATTTACTGTTAAGATTTGGTTGCTTTTAAGGACAAGCGGGCTAAACCAGATTTCGGGAGTTTCCAGAAATCTTGACCTACACCAAAGTCGGAATGCCCTACCTATAAGAGAAGTTTGGTTTCATTGGTGTGTATATTTGTTTGGTTATAGAGAAAACTCTCCTTGTCTTTTAAAGAAACCAAACAAGGGGCAAAAACTTTACGTACTATTTTTTCAGAATATCAGCTTTTTTCGGGATAGCCCCCTTGTACGTGATGGTGCGGTGGCGGAGGGTTAGTGCGCTCATCTCCGAAGTGGAAAGTCCTGGTTCGAGCATCTGTTCAGACACAGATTTTTATTTGCCCCCTCCTGCCCACCCAACAGTAATCGGTACCTGACTTCGAGTTGGGGAAGGAACTGGCCACCCTACCACAACATGCCGAAGGCCCAGGAATTTGTCTCACTAACCAGGCAATCCCCAATGTCCGGATCGGATGCAGGAACATCTTTACTTTACTTACATGATGGTAGTGAATCTTTCTCTACCCTGGGCTAGCCTCTTGACTCTTGATGTTATTCCATGTCTTCCCACTTTTCTGTACATCAATTTCTGTGATTCTTCTCCAGGTCCCAGGTGGTCTTCCACTTGATTTTTTACCCTGTGGATTCCTATCCATACACATGTAATTGAATGAATGGAAATATTTTGAGCATAGATCCTTTCTATCATGTAGTGCTCACCCATTGACAGAAGCTTGGGGCTTTCTTTTTTCCCTTGGTAAGCTGTAGATCTAATGAAGTTTGAAGAGAATACAAAAATCTTTTCTTTTTATCATTATTCTCAATACTACTAAAGTTCCTTTGCTTTATGCTTTTCAGATCCAAGAGCCCATCATCACTGCAGCGAAGACCTTTGTTATTGTCCTGTAAAGCAGACTTTTCCAAGCGAACGAGTTCATCTTTATTCCTGCAGTGTCAGTTCTTCTGTTCGTCTCCTGGCAATATGGCCGACGCCACGGAAGCAGGGAAGATGGTGGCAGCGCGGAGAGCTGTGGACGAGAACATCAAGAAAGGGCAGGTGGTTGGCATAGGCAGTGGCTCCACCATCATCTTTGCCGTGGAGAGAATCGGCGAGAGAAACAAGAAGGAAGCTCTGAACCTCACGTGTATCCCCACATCCTTCCAGGCGCGTCAGCTGATCCAAGATCACGGGCTCACTCTGGGAAGCCTGGAAACCTCGCCAGAGATTGACGTGGCGATTGACGGGGCCGACGAAGTGGACGATAACCTTTACCTTATCAAAGGCGGCGGGGGTTGTCTCATGCAGGAGAAGATCATCGCATCGTGCGCCAAAAGTTTCTTCATCATCGCCGACACCCGTAAAAATTCCAAAGTGCTGGGAACCTCGTGGAAGAAAGGAGTCCCGATCGAAGTGTTGCCAATGGCCTACAGGCCGGTGCAGCTAAAGATCAATCAGCTGTTGGGCGGCAAAGCGGAGCTGCGGATGGCATCCCGGAAAGCCGGGCCCGTCGTCACTGACAACGGCAACTTCATCCTGGACTGGGTCTTTGATGGCGCTCAGGACTGGCCGGCCGTGGAACGGACGATCCGGGACGTCCCGGGAGTTGTCGAGACCGGCCTGTTTCTCAACATGGCGGCGGCCGCATACTTCGGCACGGCTGACGGGAATGTTTTGGTCCGCACCAGTAAGCAGTAATGCAAGGCAACAGACTCTTGCTGAGGATGGGCATTGCTCAGGTTTACCCTAATTACCAAAAATAATTGCAGTTTTTTGAGTGCAACTACTTTTATGTTATCCTTGACCTTGCTATTATTCGTTTTGTTTTTTCTACCAAGATGACTTGCTTTGCTCAGTGTTGAGGTGCATTTTTGGACATTTCTACTTTATTGTTGACTGATTTAGTTGTTTATTTCTTATTTTCTATACTCATACTGTACATGTTTTCGTCCTCATACAGATTGCAGTACATCGCCTGTTACTGATTGATATCAGAAGTTGTTGAGTAGTGAACCTCTCTACACTGTGTTTATGCATGTGTGTGTGTGTGTGTGTGTGTGTATTTGAGCTTTGAATACATGTTTCCATTTCAGAGCTTGTGTTTGAATTTTGATGTTTAGATCCTTCTTCTTTGTTTATGTATCATACAATATTCACTGCCTGTTATTCATGAATATGTATGTGATCCTTGCCAAGTGCTCGTAAAGGGACTTTATGCTCCTGTCAAGTTCAGAAAAAAGCATTCCATGTTGCCATGTATCTCTTTGACTTTTTTTCTCTCTTTTATTTGTGTTTTTCAGATGATGAAAAGATGAAAAGAGAATTAAATGAAATCAGCATTATTAGATTTAGATGGGGGTTTTTTCCTGCCTGTTTTCTGTAAATGTTAATTTTATGAAAGCTGCTGACAATGAGATGTTATGACATGATAGTTTAGTGGTACTGTGATATATGCATAGACCATCATGTAAGTATAAGAAGATTGCCATAGAGCTATAACTCTGTCGATTCTTTGCTAGCTTCAAGGTACTGATATTTTCAAAAGCAAGGCAACAGGCAACATAATGCATGCATGTATTATATTGTTTCTTTTTTTTTTTCTTAAGGCTTTTATTAAAAGTTTATTCTTTTTTTATTTCAACTTCCAGAAACATGTTGCTATTTTAATGCTATTTGATTGATTGCATATATGGCAATGGCTTAAAGTTTTTTCTGTCCGTTTGCTTCTTTGTGTAAGAATAGGCCGATTTGTTGTGTTTTGTGTCATTTGTGCTTTCTCAGAGTACATTTCTTTTACTGGTGTTTGATTCCTGGATCCTGCTTAATTAGGACATGTTTACACTTTTTTGCTAGCTTCTTGTTCGTACTTTGAAGAGGAGTGAATGTTTTTGAGATAACATTTAATTGAATTAATATCACCTCTTAGTTTATAATGACGTGGAGAAAAAAAAAAAAGTCACATGGGTATATTTTGTGCCCTTTGACTTACGGGTTTTTGGTACCAAATTTGCTGTCTTTGTAGGATTGAGATCCACTTTACGTATTCTGCAGATTTATGTTGTTTGCAAAGTAAGAACCCCCTGGGGCAGTGCCACTGACTGAAGTGTCTTTAAGCCATTCCCAAAGGGGGGACATTTCTCGTTCAAGCATAGTAGTAGAATTGTAAATGGGCTGACTCATGTCACGCTCATAACTGTGCCTGATCTACAACAGGGAACTGCTGCTTTTTCTTTCCTGATCCTTACTATTGTCATTTTCCTCTACTTCTTTTGTATGTTTGTCACTCTCTTGTGACCTGCTATTTCTGGGGTGCCTTGATAGTCGACGAAGCAGACCTTGTGCTGTTGAAGCTAGAGAAGTGAGCAGTCTAAGTCTGATTCCTTGTAAAGACTTCTCTGTTGACACCCACCCCTTGGCGCTCATATGACCTTATGCAGTTGCGAGCACCGTAAAATCCTCTACTATTTAAAAAAAAAAATGCAAATTAAGAGATTGTCACGATTGATGAGTTCCGATATATGATCAGTTAGGGAGCTTCAGATTACATATCTTTTTAAAAATATGGAACGATGTTCACAGCATTTGTTGAGAAAGCCTAAAATAAGTGTTCATTGATATTTCTCATTATTTCCTATCTTATTTTTTCCTATCCTTGTTTTGCCTGATTTGATCAAAATGTGCTTACATTAGCTTTAGAGTTGTTGTCATAATGCAAGCATTGAATGATTATGTTATGTCTTTGAGAGTGATTTTCTTTGATGGATGTGAACATTTTGGAATTTTTTTTTTGGCTGACGACAGATATATATATATGGACCAAAATGATGTCTGGATCACAATAGTAATAGTAACCTAAGTGAAGAGGAATCACAGTGTGATAGTAGAGTCTAGAGCAGTGGAATAGTTTGAAGATCTAGAGTAGAGACTGACGATGAAAGCAGTAAATAGATCTAGAACTAGCCGCCAGTGATGAAGATAGAGATTAAGACCGAGATCTGGAAAGGAATCAGATTCTTTTTATTTTGCGGGCCTCTGTGTATAAAAACACGTTTTGCTCAATGAAGACTAGACGTGGATTCCCTTTTCTTCTTCTGCATGCACGTTCATTCAGTTTGATGTATGACGTGATAATATGTGAGGCAGCGTGGTGTAATCAGGCTGTCGTCAATTTTTGGGCATGTAGAGTTATTGGTATCATCTTAAAGTCTGTTCACTTGTCTTTATTTGGACGAAACAAATATCCATATTTGTCTTTTATACAAGTCGAGATATTTGCGAAAGAAGGAGGCGGGGGTCACCTGTTTTTAGAGGTAAAATTAGTGAGAAAATGTCCGCCAAAGATTACTTATTTCCTTAGCTTAGGAGTCTGTTGTAACTGAAAATTTTAATTTTTGTGCCTTTAATCAACGCTTTTCAGAAAAATCCACACAGAAATTAGTTCTTTAATGGGTATGAAAGGTGTTGAGCCAAAAAACAAAAATTTGATAAAAATTCACAAGCCTGCGGAAATATGCAAGTTTCTTCACTTTGATTATTTTGACGAGAGCCTGATTCCACCACGCTGTCTTACATATTTCAATACCCGGTACATCCAGGGTCCAGTACAGCGGTTGCCACAAGTATAAATTAAATTTCGCCCAAACTCCTGGAAAATGTGCTCGAAATTCCTTGATAAAAGAGTAAAAGTAAGAGAAAATGTTCTCTTGTATACCAAATATTATGAATTTGAAGACAATCTTATTACATAATGTACTGCTGTGCCTGCGTGTCTATACGTATGTCTGTGGGTGGTTGGCGGGTGCTCTGGTGTGGCTTGCCTCTTCTTTCGTATCAAACATCTATTGTCTTCTTCTCCCCTCCTTCTTTTTTGTGTTTGTTACTCTCTTGTAACACTTCTAATCTTCGGCACTTGTTGTATGACCTTATTATTGTGTTGTAAGTGCTGTAAAACACTTACTAAAAAAGAACTCTGTATGTCGTGTATGTGTGCATGGGAGTGAGGTGAGAGATTTCACACTGTTACTGTTAGTGAAGTATGAGTCTGTCGTGGTTACTGAGTTACGGTACTGTGAGTTCTCTGGTTCTCATTATTAAAAGGATGGTGGACTGAAGTATGCAAGAGATTTTAATTTTCAACACAATACACTACATGTACAACATGATATAGTGCTTTTTGTGTGTGTGTGTGTGTATGTGTGTCCCATTTTCTTATTTCTCGCCTGCATACATAAAAAAAAGAATTGTTGCCTCCAGTCTCAAGTGTTTTAGTATGCTGAGTTCTGAAATGTTACTGGAAACTTGTAAAGGAAGTTGAGATCTGAACTGTTCTAAAGTGCACTTTGGTAGAATTCTCCATATTGAAGTCTTTCTCTTCGTCTGTTTGTTGATACAATCTGCTGTATTGATTCATATAAAATTAAGTCTACTACATGTACTACTACTACTTCCAGGTTGAAGATTTCTTTTTTTTTT